ATGGAAGCTGTGTGAAAGAAGTTACAGAAAGGGTAACTGAGGAAGGCATTGCGGTGAATAGAGTGGGAAAGGAAAGATTATACATGTAAGGGTGAAAAATTGTTTGTAGAAGAGGGTGGTTGTACTGACTGTGTTTTATGAAAAAACCTCTGTAAGCTATTCTTGGTCCAAAAATCATTTTATTATTGTGAATGCGTCTTTGCGTCACTCAATGTCTTATAGACCGGAAGTAGAATAAATACTTTGCTATTTATTGAAGAGTTTTTTATTCCCGCATTTATTTCAGATGTAATAATTGAAACAGCTGATTATTATGTGATTTGGTTTATTGGAGTATTGTATTTTCATGTGCACATAATTTATTGCTGGTCCAATTGAACATTGACTAGACTTTCTACTGCAGCTTTGTCTGCAATGATTTCTAAAAGTAACTAGATGGGAAGTAAAAACAACAGATTTTTTCTCACCCATCATCTGCACTTCAGTAACTGTGTTTTATTTTATAATGTACATCTGTGGTATATGAACCAACTCTGAGGAGCACAGGGACTGGCCTCCTGCTGATGCCCAGAGTCAGGACTAGACATGGAGAGCCAGCATTTCAGATTCATGCAGCTAAAATCTGGAAAGTTCTTCCAGAAAATGTGAGACAGGCATCTACTCTGCCACTGGTCAAATCCAGGTTAAAACAGTTCTGTTTGGCTGTGCATACCACTGAAGGATTGTACAGTATCTATACAATTTGTTGTGATTATTAATGATTTTAATGTTTTGTTTCTTTTTTTGTTGGGCACTTTGAAATGCCTTGTGTGTGAACTGTGCTGTGCAGGAAAACTTGCTTTGACTTGCCTTTGGTTGTTGGTTTATAAACTGAGAATCAGAAAAATGCTCGACAAATTGAGATTGGTTGCGATTACATTTGAACGGCAGAATGCTCACATTTTAAATCATGTTGGCCAGTAAGGTTTGGGAGCAATTTAAGATTTTCTGATTAGGAGAGTTTTTGTCATCTGGCCAAATCAGACTTCTATACCCTGAGCAGCTAAAGTGAAGCATGGGGAGATTTACTTTCACAGGAGACAAGAAAATCCACTTTAATGTCTTCTGCTGTCGGACGAAGCCAACAGCTGGGGCTGCTGAGCAACATCTGCTTTTGTAAGTGAACAAACTCATCCAATCACATCGCCAAGATGCCCAGCGGCACATTTACATATGTAATGTACAATAAAGACATTAGGACAACCCTGAGCCTTTGTAGCATGAGTATGTTGTTCTGTGCTGCTTTCATGGACATTTAAAAAAAATCATACACAACATTATATTGTTTTTTAGATGAGAAATAAAATAGCTTTTAAGCTAATCTTGTACTTGTTGGTGATTAAAGAGGCATCAGTCGTGCTTGGACAAGCATCACAGTCTGGAAATGCCATATGCTGGCATTTACTAGCTGTTAGGCTGCATGCACCCTGGCTCATTCTGGGAGCCAAGTCTATTTTCTGATCTAAAAATGGCTCTTTACTATAATACTGCACCCACTAAAAAGAGCTTTCAGGTAAATATAACTATTTTTCATAAATTGAAGTACAAGATGTAGAAGATTTGTATTTATTTTAGGGCTGTCATAGTTATCGCGTTATTGCGCGTTAATTCATTTTTTTCATTAATCGCGTTAACATTTTTTACGCTTTTAACGCATGTGCCAAGTGACTGGCACCCTGTGCGCGTGTGACTGGGGGGCAATTGCTGTGAATGGGAGTCCGCAGCGCTCTGAGGCAGCTGCGGCCGCTTTGGACAGTCCAGCAGCTGTGAGCGGCTTTCAACAGCACGGGAGCGCACAGCCGTACGTGGCCATGTACCCAATGCCATATACACGCACAGGACCACTGTGTGCACTGATCACGCACAGGATGCACAATAAAAACAGCGCTGCAAGAAACAGTCCGTCTCCCCCGTGTCTTCTCTCGAAAAAAGACGCTAAATTAAAGCTGGGGTACCTAACTTTTCCTTTGCACTACCATTTCCTGTTGTTTTTGCCCAAAGTGAAATGTTGTGAGCAAATCAAACATATTTAATGACAGCCATCGACTGACAGGCATTTCAGACTTTTTTCAAATGTCCCATTCTCATCCGTGTAACAAACAATAGTTTGTAGAGGCACTAATGAAGAGGATCCACAGCCTTTCTTCTTTTATAAGAAGAAAGAGGAGGCTTTAGCAGATGTGGAATTTGTCGAGCTGAAAAAATAGTGTCTACTACAGAAAGACAGAATGTTAATAATGTTAATGCCATTTTATGTGGATTTATTGTTATAATAGACAAATACAGTACATATGTACACTATGTCATCATTTATCTTTCCATTCAAACAACCATTTACAGAAAAATATGGCATAATTTTTCCGATAATTCAAAATGCGATTAATTACGATTAATTAATTTTTTTGCTGTAATTAACTCGATTAAACATTTTAATCGTTTGACAGCCCTAATTTATTTTTTTCAAACTGAGTGAGTAGCCTATGCATTCCAACACATATATTTGTACTATATATGTACAGTACCTTTCCCAGTGCTCTTAAATACATCTGTTGAACCAGTAGCAGTAGTGGAGTAGAAATGGTTCCATGTAGGGTTCACATGTGTCTTATGCGATTGAGTTAAATTGGAATAGGTGAGTGATACAGTTTTTATTAATGCTTTTTGAATGTGTTCAGTTTCACATGAATAGATTCAGGACAAGACATGGGGAGTCAGAGATTTAAAATATAGAACAGTCCTTCTGAAAATACAGGAGACAGGCTTCTCTGACCACAATGATACTATTTCGTTGTGCAACAACTGAAAGATCGTATCTACAGACACTTTCTTGCTGATCTTTAATCTGCCTAATTCCAATAATCGGCCTCTTGGCCTCCATGTCTTGGAGCTAGTCTGTTCTGTCAATAAAGCGTCCCTAACACATTTGGTCATGTGGAGCTGAGGAGTATCCTGTTGAATAATGAAACTCTGTCATGCTGCTTGAAACATTTATGTACGAGTGGGAGTTCCACTGGACCCCTCCCCGGAGCCTACAGTCGTACAGGGACCTGCTAATTGCTAACCCATGTCCAGTGGAGGGCTTTCATTAAGGGAGCAGAACTGACGGACCTCAGAGAAGTCCGAGAGCTCCTGTTTTAGTCTAAAATAAGTGTTTAATTAACTGGAAAGGATGTCAACCTGCTGTATGAATTAAAGGTGAGCTATTATGTTCAGTGAGTAATTCTGACGGCTTATTCAGGCTCTATGTCTGAGATGTGGCTTTATCTGTTCCCTGTGTTAATGTGTCTGTCCATACAAACAAAAGCCCTTGATTGGCTCTTTTACAATAAATGCAATCTCAAAACTGCTGTGTACGTGAAGCTTAACATTGACTGAAAGTCCCGTGACCAGTGCACACACCTGCAAATGCAACGCTGTTGCTCCTTTCCCGAAAGAGAAAGCGGCGACATCCGCATCAGAGCTGGGTGTTGTCAGATCAAAGCTTTCATTACTACTGTCCTCACAGGAGTGTGTAAGTCCACACACTGTCTGTATGCAAGGAGGGTTTAGGTTTGGTTTAGACAGTGTCCGATCCTGGTTCTGAGTCCATGGTCACGCAGACGGCAGAAACCGAGCACACAAAAATTTGCTGTATATGACTATCACATCTACATGCATAATTATTTATTGTTTGGGGGGACCTTGACGCTATACCACACCAGACAAGACCCAAGGTGTCGTTTGTGCAAAGGGGGACCTGAGACGATCCAACACATAACTGCAGGGTATAATATGCAGGCAAGGAGGGCCTACATGGAACGCCATAACCAAGTGGAACGCCATAACCAAGTGGCTGGCATAGTGCAGAAACATCTGTGCAGAGTATGGGCTGGAAACTCCATGGTCTAAATGAGAAACTCCTCCAAAGGTGGTGGAGAATGAGCGTGCGAAGATCCTGTGGGACCTCCAGATACAGACCGACCGAATGGTAATGAACCAACCTGACATTGTGGTGGTGGACAAAGGGCAGAGGACAGCTGTTGTGGTGGACGTGGAAATTCCAAGCGATGGTAACATCAGGAAAAAAGAACATGAAAAGCTTTAGAAATACCAAGGGCTCAGAGAGGAGCTGGAGAGGGCCTGGAGGGTAAAGGTGACAGTAGTGCCCAATCCCTGTAACAACCTCGGATATTTCGGTCCAGAAAAAAAGCAGTGCTTGGAACAGCAAAGACACTGCGCAGAACCCTCAAGTTCCCAGGACCCGAGCTTAGAGAGGGATAAAAGCCAGTGGAAAGCAAAAGGTGAGATTTTTCATTTTTGTATGTATATACTGTGTATATAAATGCATGTGCATCTCGGGATCCACGTACGGACTGCGTGGTAGAGGCGCACGGACTGCGTGGCAGAGGCGCAGGAGCGGAAAACCGACGCACGCAGGAGATAAACATTGCTGAACGTTTCCTCGAGACGCTTGTGCAGCGACCAATCAGAGAGCCGTAAAGTGGTCACGGGGACATTAGTGGTCTGAGCGAGCAGACTGAAAATACTGTAAAACAGCCAAAACAGGAGCTACACCAGGACTAAACCAGGGTTGACCTGCTTTGTCGCCATCTCATACGCATGTGTCCCCGTCACTTCTGACTGTTATTATGGGATGCATGGGCGGGTCATTCGCTACATGCGAAAGAAAAGCACTCAAGTAGAAGTACACGTGCTCATTCCAAACATTAGTCCCAAATGTAAGCATCTTGTTTTAACATTTCCCAAGTCCAGCATATGTATGTCATTACACTCACATTAACTGGATCTAAAAGCAAATGCTGTTTTACATAACTGTGTGGACAATGTGCCGACAGGAGTGCACTGAAGAGCCCTCAACGCCCTTCCCCCTTGGAACAACCATTATCAACACAATTACCACCTCCGCTTGTCAGGTCTGCTTCCCAACACATCCCCAGCTCACCCACGGCTGCACCCACACCTCACCTCTCTGCACTTGTGATCCTGATGGGACCTGCTTGTTCCTGGAAATAAAGAGAAAAAAACACTTCTCATTAAATTAGTCATACATTCAGCTGATGACTGCCACCCTGCGATGGCTCCGCATGGGCTTCAAAAGTGCTCTGGGTGGATGTGTTTAAGTGTCCTCTTTATTACATGGCTTGATCGAAGAGAGCCTCTCATCACCAGAGAAAATTATTACGGGAAATTGATGCTTGAGGACAGGGATAGAGCTCTTGTATGTATGCTTCAGTGCGGTTACAAGAGGTCCCTTATTGGAAGTGTCCAAATTTAGCTCAGCAAACAATGGAATAGCTTATTTTGGTCTTTAAAAGTATACACTCCTTTTTTCTCATTTTAACAAAGTGTATTTATTCAGGAAATATCTAGACCAATGCGTGCCCAACATTTTTTACCTGGAGAAACAGAAATAACACATTCCATATTGTCAATGGAAATCTGGGCGTCTCTGCTTAGATTGCTGCCCCCGCGACCCGGAAACGGATGAATCGGAAGAAAATGGATGGATATTGTCAAGGTTCACGGTTCAATTTGGTCTTAGGCTCACAGTGCCGTTGGACACGAACATATAGGACTCTCTAATCGGCTTGTCTGCATAATATCAGCACAAGAATATGCCATAATATTGTACAGTCAAGAATAAAATTGGAATGAGGCAGCAGCAATCTTACACACTCGTGACCTTCAGTATATTTTCCAGTTTTTCGAGATCGAGCAGAAGAAGACAAGACTATTTATAAGAGGTTTTTCAATGTGCATAAGGACAGAGACACCCCAATGTTTCCACAGCAGCCAGGTGTAACGTACCGCACTGCAGACAACAATAGAGGCAGAGGTAGAGCTATTCTTAAATCTGTTGGCTTTTATTTGTTTATTGCTTTTTACATTGTCCAAACTTGTTCAGTCTATTTGGCCAAATATGTCCCGAGCTCATTTCAGCACCATGGACAGCCCCTGCATCTTTCCATCAACATTCACTGCGATCATTATTTTCCAGTTCCATAATACTATACAATGCCTGATCATCTCATGCATTTGGTTTGTAATTGAATTTGGAGCATGAAGATCTTTGTTTCCTCATCAACCATGTGTTGTTTTGGTGCTGAGAGGATTTGGAGAAGATTATATTTTCAGCTTGATTCACACGCTTTTTCACTCAAGCCGCTTTTACCTTCTCTCAGAGAAGCCCAGCGCAGTCTGATGAATCGCACCATTGAATTTTGGATTAAGGACAGTGTCAAAGATGTGGCCAAAATATTAATTTTTACTTATGTCTAAAAACAGTCCTAGTTTGTTACTGCAAATGATGTATTTAATGTTATATATTTACCTTTATTTAACCAGGAAACTCCTGCTAAGATTTCAGGGGAGTCCAGCAGAGTTCTGGGTAGAAGGGAGCTATAATAAATGTTTGTAGTGGTAGGGGAAACCTGAGCACCCGGAGGAAACCGGAGCACTCGGAGGAAAATGAAGCACTCGACGGAAACAAACACACACAGAGATTAGACCCTGTTTGGAGTTGGAATCTAACCCAGATTATTCTTGTTGAAAAGTCAACAGTGATAATAACTGTGCCACTATGCCGCCCACTTTACTAATCGATTGATCTATTCGATATTTTCCTCTCTCTCATGTATATTTTTGTGCAGAATACTGTTACTGAAGAAGATGACAAAGCATTCCTGACATTACCTTTGAGCGTGCTTAAAAAGGTTGTTTAAAATCTGTTGCTTTTGTTATACGATCGACTGACCAATTCCAATCTCCATGCTCCATGAAGGGCATCACTAAGGGTGAAAACCTTAGTGATAAGTCATAATCTTCACTTATGACTTGTATCTGTGTAGTATTGTATCTTTCTAGTCAATGGAGAATCTCTCATGATTTCAAACAGAAGGAAAATGTTGCAGACAATCTGCCCACAAGCAGCCGTCAAGTGCATCTCACCACCCACAGGGTGGTGGTGGTGGTGCCAGCAGTGAGCTGGGAGCTTGATCTGCTCTCACCATCTCTGTCTCCTCACAACTACACTCTACTACGTTCACATGTCGAGGCTGGAGTTGTTTTTCTCACATAGTGCACAATAATGTGTAGATCCCATCACACGTCACATGCTCAATCCAGGGCCTGTGTAGCTCATTAAATTCACAGTATAAAGGAGAGGAACTCTTTGGGGAGCCAGGGTGATTGATGCTCAACACTGGTCTCGTGAGGGCCCAGGTGGGGAGCATAGGGCCTGTCGCCTGCTTTACAATTGCCTCTCAGCGTTCGTAGTCCCTGGTTTCTTCATCAGAATAACGTCATCAAGGAGCTCAGGGCTGGATGTGTATTCGTGCAGGCAGCCCCCCCTGTGAATGACATTTGTGTGTGTGCGTAGGTCACTGACATTTCACCGGGGCATTTGAAGGACCGGGTAGAGGTAAAGGTCAAGGTTTGTTATAGGGCTGTCTTACATTACTGATTTATACTCTTTCTGTTCAAACTGTACAGAATATTGAAAGACCTGTATCCGGATTACTGTATCTAAGAGATATATTGGCTGTTGTTCTGAGGATGAGGCCCTTTGGTCCCCCATGACGGTTGGCACCAATCATTTGTTTTCAATGTTAAACAATAATTTTAGAGCAGACACATCCAAACTCAGGCCCTCAGGCTTCTTTGGGCCCTCTGTGTCGCCCTCTTGCTAAGCAGCCGTTGAGATCATTGACACAAGTTCATACCTCATTGTAAAGTTCAGAACCCCGGAATCCAGTTGTTGTCTTTATTTGTTTATACTGGTTTGTTTTTGATTGTGACCAAACAGTCTGTACACGGCTCTAATGTTACAAGTGAGAAGTAAACATTTGTCATTAAGCTAACTTCAGCTCCGAATGGTCATGATATCATACCTCGTAATAAAGACATTGTATGTCTTACTTTTGGTAGAAGAAGGTTAATGCGACTATCAATAATATCTCTCGGTCCGCGGTCCGCTCTCTCGGTCTGCTCTCCGTCTGCTCTCTCGGCCCGCTCTCTCGGTCCGCTCTCTCGGCCCGCTCTCTCGGTCCGCTCTCTCGGCCCGCTCTCTCGGTCCGCTCCCTCGGTCCGCTCCCTCGGTCCGCTCTCTCGGTCCGCTCTCTCGGTCCGCTCTCTCGGCCCGCTCTCTCGGTCCGCTCTCTCGGCCCGCTCTCTCGGTCCGCTCCCTCGGTCCGCTCCCTCGGTCCGCTCTCTCGGTCCGCTCCCTCGGTCCGCTCCCTCGGTCCGCTCTCTCGGTCCGCTCTCTCGGTCCGCTCTCTCGGTCCGCTCCCTCGGTCCGCTCCCTCGGTCCGCTCTCTCGGTCCGCTCTCTCGGTCCGCCTCTCCCGGCCCGCCTCTCCCGGCCTTTAGGCCATGACCTGGACCGCCAGACCGGGGTTTCTGCCTTGCCCATGTCTGCCCTGTTCCTTCCTCTCATCTATACGACTTGTAAAGATGTTTTGATGACTTTCATCCCCAAGTGTTTTACGAGTGGAAATGTTTACACTGCTGATAATAAATTAAGTTAGAACTACTTTCAGGCATTTCTACAGTGTGAGAGCAACTAAGGGGAATTGGGGGATAAGAGACTCACTTGTTCTTGGAGCTGGTATATGCCTCAACAAAACCTCAGACAATTACAGTACATCATAAACAGAGCCATTTTCTGTCTTTTTGTGTTTGGGAAGTGTGAGACATTTCTCTGGAAAATTCACAAACACTTGGGAACACTTGTGTGTTTGGGAATTTTCCAGTCAAATGTCTTGGTTCAGACTGCGCCGGATGTCAAATATGAAAAGCAGAATAACACAATGGCTGAGTGGGTAGCACTCACAGCAAGATGGTCATACATTCAATCCCATGTCAATCCAAGCCTATTCTATGTGAAGTTTGGTGGGTTTCCTCCAGGCGCTCGGGTTTCCCCCCCACCGCCATAAATATGCATCATAGGTAAAATCCTCCAGCTTCTTTCTGACCAACCTCATCAACCTCTGAAGATGGATCCTCGGGCGCAGCTCTGGCACAGGACGAAGGGTCAAAGGCAGAGGACAATTAGTTCACCTTAATCTTAATTTCCCACTGACCATCTATATTTTTTACTTAAGAATCTCATTTTCCATATCCACAATGTTCACTGTAGTTCTGTGAGGAATATGTACCTTATTGTTCTCCGTGCTCCACACATTGTTCACAGCTCATTGAGTCATTTGTCTGTGAAATCAATTTAAAGCAAAAACCATGTTTTCTAATCCAAACATTTTATTCTAACAAAGCATAGAATTGCCAATCTATCCTAGATTATATTATTTTTGTTCTAGGTTTGAATCCTGGTCGGAACCGGGCCTTTCTGAGTGAAATTTGCATGTTCTCCCCGTGCGTAGGTTTCCTCCAGTTTCCCGTACCACTAAAAACATCTGCATCTTGCGTGTGGAGAGAAGGGAACACTATCTGAACTCTAAACACTGCAAAACACTTTGGGTGACCTTGGTGACAACATGCAATATCAATAAAGATTACTTACTTACTATTTCCATGGCCATTTTCTCTCATAAATACATCTTCATTTATTCTTTTCCATCTGTAGTTTGATTTTGATGAGTGAATTCTAGACCTTTTTTTTTTTCTTTACCTTTCTTTATGTTGTTTATGCTTATATTCCTGTTGCTTGTCTGTCTTGCTTTTCATTGTCCTTAAATAATAATAAAAAAGATTGAAAACATGACCATAGAACACCATAGGATGTGTGTGTTTGTGTCTTTACTGGATGCACTTACAGAATGGCCTGTTGTCTCTGGATCTCTTCTCTTTGTGCGTACAACACCCAGACAATAAAGATGGCCGGCATGCACGCTGAAGATATACACTCATAGATCGAAAATCCGATGCAATCAGGCTTTGTTCAGCAGATAGAGAGCAAATGAAAGATGCTCTGGTCTGTGAAAATCCAATCCCCCTGATATTTAGGAATACCATAAATGCATGTTGTAGTACTTGGTCCACAGATAGTGGGATCAGCAATGAAGCTATTGGTCCTATGCCTCAAGGGAATGTTTTTTAAAATGGTTTCGTCTTGTAGGGGGGTATCTTTACTAAGTTGCTCGCAGTGATTTCACTTCAGACCATATTGAGTTGGTTTAAGTATATGAATTATTTGTTACGCAGCAGGTCAGCACTTCATTCCTGCATTGTGAGAATAAATAGTGCACTGCTTGAAGGCTTTTTGAGTTAAATGCTGAAATACTGCTGTGGGAATCCGATTAACTAGACATTTTTTTAAGGATATTTGCATTTGATGGTTTTTTAATGAAAGCGGATGTAACGCACAGAATAGTCTTTTTCCATCGATTAGATTAGTTTCAACTTTATTAAAATTCAGTTTAGCATCTTACCAGTAGTGCAAAAGCGCAAGTATAGGATCATATTTACAACAAATCATATTTTAAATCAAATTTCCCTGTTCGCCCTCCGCGGACGGTCATCCCTCTCTAAGCTCGGGTCCTGTACCAGAGGCCTGGGAGCTTGCTGTTCCTAGCACTGCACATTTCTGGACGAGATTTCCGAGGTTGTTCCAAGAATCTGCTGTAACCACTCCTCTAGCTCCAGGGTCACTGCCCCGAGTGCACCATCACCACGGGCACTACTGTCACCGTGTGTATATACTAGTGCATATATCAATGCACATTAATGCAATGCACAGGTTCTAAGGAAGAAAACAGAAATGCATGGATTAAATTAAATTCCACATAATGAGCCACTGGTGTCATTACCGCAATACAGCAGGCAGAAGCATGTTTTATCTTCTTTAATACTTTACCCCTTGGGCGACACTAATATCGCACATACGCAAATGGGTGTACATGGCTCCCAAATGCCTTGTAAATTTATCCATGGGCCGAGCCTGTTTCTTTATGTACTTCCAGACTCTATGCATCAGTCCCTGTATTGACAAGTTGGCAGAGAGAGGAGCCTGAATCTGCAGACGATGATGGGCTGAAGGCAATGATCCGAGCTATTGATTGACTATTGGCGGTGGCACTTGGTGGCTTGCCTCAGCAGAAACCTTAGCTCAACTCTGGAAATATTCATAAATCTTAAATCTGGCCAGGATATAATTCCCATTCTTTTACCTCCAGCAGAGATTCATTACAGTGCGGCCAGGACAATAGGCTGAGGGCGCACTTCAGTCGACTGTTGAAGTTTTCCGGATGAGGATGACCGGTAAATAAGGGCGGCCCTCAGTGCACCTCTTTTCCATCACTTTTCTAACCACAGCCACTGCAGTCTCTCCATTACCACTTCAGATCCAAGATTCAGATTCATTTATTTGCCTTTTGTTGTAAAAGCACAATGGAATACATTTGCAGAAGTCCCCAGAGTACGCAAATCTTTTTCCACTGACTCCAACAATTAGGTGTAAATTCATGCATGGAAAAATCTCTCATGAAAGAGTCAACAGGAGCTAACTTACATTTCTAAACAAGGAGACATGCTTTTAAAACTGAAATAGTATCAATTAACTGTAATATTCTGTGTGGACATAGCCTGTACTTGTAAGTGCAAACATGACTGTAACTTGAGAGCCTGAATTCTACAACGGTTGTAGTCATTCAAGCACACACAAAAGGCATAAACAAGATTTGGAATATATAAACCGTAATACACAGTTTGAAAAGGGTTTGGACAAAGCAGGCGCTTTACTGTAGATCCAACTCGTGTCAATCACACAACAGAAAACAGTGTCTCAAGCTTTAGGATTTTAGTCAGACAGAACATGCTCAAAGTGACAAATTAAAGAGGCCAAAATGTCAAATGAACATGACAACCAAACTGACCTGACACTAGACACACAAGAAACACCTGTCAGGAGTCTGGAGGTTTTACACACACACTCACAAACACTCACATACATACGCGGGCGTTTATCCTTCTGCTCGGGTCCTCTACCAGAGGCCTGGGAGCTTGAGGGTTCTGCGCAGTATCTTTGCTGTTCCTAGCTCTGCACATTTCTGGACCGAGATGTCCGAGGTTGTTCCGGGGATCCGCTGTAACCACTCTTCTAGCTTCAGGGTCACTGCCCCGAGTGCACCATCACCACGGGCACTACTGTCACCTTTACCCTCCAGGCCCTCTCCAGCTCCTCTCTGAGACCTTGGTATTTCTCAAGCTTTTCATGTTCTTTTTTCCTGATTATATATATATATATATATATATATATATATATATATATATATATATATATATATATATATTGAACATGTTTTGAATAAATCTGGTGAGATTTTGCAGATGCCCTAAGCAGATGATTTTGTGTGGAATAAAAAGCGGCAGATTGTAAAGGAAAGACCACATGAGGGGGGAAGCTATATTCTGATATTTCTGTCATTTCTCTCCTCCATCCCCCCACATACACCCACCCTCTGTCACATGAGCTCTAGTCTACATGCTCCGCCGCTACATGCACACTGCACCATGTATATATTCTGCTACATTTAAAGGGCCTTTTTCCACCTTCAAAAGCATGTTTTAGAATGTGACCACTCTGGCAACTGTCCTAATTGTTCATCTTTCTCGTAAACTTCCATAAATACATATTTACACAAGCATAAAATCATATGGTAGAACGTGCATTTCAATAAACCTGATGCCACCTTTGCCATCTGCGGAACATTATACAGACACGTGGAGCTCAGTGTGTTTGACCAGTGACCTTTTACTTTTACTACTCAATGGATTTTGTGCTGAAAATAAATCCTGCAGCTGACAGTGAGCTAAGGGATTCTTTGGTAACGCTTTATATTAAGGTGTGCTTGTTAAGTATTAATAAGGTATTAATAGAGATTAGCATCATGCTTATAGATTGCTTATATGTACTTATAAACATATTAATAAGCTGCTCATACTATGTTTATAGGCCACTAACAATATGCCTATAAAGATATTAATAAGCTGCTTATTAATAGGTAATAGTGGTAATAGGCCACTAAAAATATGCGTTAATAAACTGCTTATTACACTATTTTGCAGTACCTTAATCTAAAGCGAGGAGCATTTTTGTTAATGCAGAAAAAAACACAACATTGATCTAAGATGTTTTTATTAATTCAAACAGCAACAATTACAGTCTAAATGAAAAAATATGTCAAAATGAAGTTTGTGCCAAAAGTTTGTTAGTAACTTCAAGGAGCCATGATGAACCCACTCATGCTCCGACCTGCTCTGTTCATGAATTTGGCTTTGGCAAAACAGTGAATCAACTGACTTCACGAGCCTGAGAGATTAGCGGAACTCGCCTATTTTTGGGCATCGTCTGGTCCTCCCGGTTCTGCGCAGTTGACGAGCTCCCATGATGCTTTGCGCCAAATACGCGTGTGTGGCTGTCATGCACGTGCACATAGGGACAGCTCTGACCAATCA